CATAGATACATTTTCAGTCGTTCACTATTCGTCGCAGTTTGGACTTGCTGATTGCCTTTCGCCATATGGGATTTGTTCAAATACATTTCATGCATTGGTGTCGAGTTTTATTGCTTTAATGGAATCGCAGGGAGAAAACGTTTTTCAAGAGACACGATGTGGTATAGAAAATAATCTCCAGTGTTCTTGCGAATCTGTTTTCCGAGTGGAATTGTTTCTTCTACGATGCAGTAACCGATGCCTTACAGCAAAAGTGTTTCAAAGTTTCCTATACAGTGAGTATCACAAATCAGAGACGTTCTCCCTTTCTTTCTCTCTCTCTCTCTCTCTCTCTCTCTCACACACACACCATTGCGTGCGAACAGTGGCAGTGGGTGAGGTTGAGGCACGTCGTTACTTGATCCTGACGGATTTCCATTGGATGGATAGAATAACGTAGCCATGATATAAAGTTCCGTACGATTATGGTACTAGCAGGTCATGACTGCGGCACATACGGTGTGTGCTGATGGGTGCAAGCTGAAGATCTATGAAACGGTCAGTCAAACATTGTATTTCAGACAGTGATACTCCGATGTATACGCTGTATACGTGGCAGCTTGTGAATAATTGTAACATTGGTACCTAGCCATCTCTGTATGGCTAACGGTCCTCCCTGTAGAAGCTGTTCTTGATCACCATCATGGCTACCCATTGCATGTAAATGAAGCAACACCGTTACAGAATTATTTACCTAAGGTTTTCGAGCTCAGCATGTGAGAGTGGCACAGTTATTACAACCTGATATCATCTTTCGACGTAAAATTTGCTTGTCAAGGAATGAAACCTTTAATGAAGCTAAAAATTGAACACAACAGATGGCACAACATTTCTATCCAATTGCGGTCACTTATCTTGGCTATTTTTAATCTAATCACCAAGGTGATGATTTATCGATACTTATTTTTTATCTGTAATTGTTTTGCATATATTCGGCAGTGCGAAGTTTTATATGCAACTTTTTTTCAGATATCTCACAACCATCCGGTTGAAACCGAAATCTTTTCATCCGCCAAGAAAACGTCTGTTGACGCAATGGCAAGGCAAGTGATTGACAAAAAACAGCTTGAAAAGCTTCGTCAGATACGTTATTTTCGGAATCTGAACGGTAAGTCAAATGGACAAAGATTTCTTATTCTTAAACACTATTTGCTGCAGCCTTTGGATATTTATCGTTCGTCAGACCGTTCGTGTTACCTTTGATCTTCATGTATTTATATAACTTTATCCTTTAAATCTTATTACTTGTACTCGTGTTACCTTCGTTAAGTTCGTCGAGAAATGTACGAGTCAAATTATATCTTGTGATATGGAAGATATAAATTCTTTCGTAGCAATTTCTGATAATCTTATAATTCATTAATAGTTAAATGCATGTTGAATACGCCGTTTAGTGTTTTTATTTTTACGTTTACATATGAAGCAAAATTTTTGCAGCAGGCAGAAATCACCGAAGATGCCATGACATGAATGACAGATCCAGAAATCTCAAAAGGAAAGAAACGAAAGTGACCTTGAACTGCTCACAACTCACTCAATTGCGTCAGTTCTTTGAGCAACAGCCTTATCCGAATGATACTTTCATATCTGAAGTGGCATCGAGACTTGCACTTTCAGCGAAGGTTGTTAAAAAGTGGTTTGAAAACTATCGGATACATGTGGCTTCTGAGGAAGTAGCAACGTTATTGACGCCTTCGTAAATCGTGTATATCGGATAATACGATTTCCGTCATCGCGGGCACGAAGAATTTCAAAAACTAATTTGTTTGTTCTGATCGTCGTCCTGCTCTGTTGCGTTAGTGAGACGTCACAATTTTGTGGTGGTCGCGGCTCTCGCACCTTCTCAGCTCGAAGTATGACCCCTAAATTACCAAATGATCAGTTTCCAATGTAAATCTCGATGAACGATCTCCGTTAATGACGTTGTACCATCTTTTGTACGTTTCTGTTTTGCTCTAAGTCTTCGCGTCAAGGTAATGCCTGTTTTTGAAAGATGTTTCAGAATCACAATGAATTAGAATCATGACAGCGCCATAAAATGGAATGCAGCAATCATCCTGCTTTTCTAGTACATACATAAAAAATATTCTGAATAGGTACGACACCTGACCATTGTTGTTTCGACACATCTAAAGAACAACGAAGGTCTGTAAGATTATAATCGAATGTATTTTCTGTAAGCTTAATAACGTTAGGCCTGACAGCTCTAAACAAAACGGTTGCAGGAGGTCACATCATCCCTGCCTGAAAACCATAGCTACACCTGCAAAAGCCATGTAAAATGCGGTTTTAAACGTCGGTAGTGTTTCGTCATCCAATACACTGGGCCTTTCTAAGTATAGTTTAGGATTAACTGCAAAGTAAAGTAAACGATATGGGAATTGGATCACTACCGACCGAACAAGAAACCAATGAATAATGCGTGCAAAGTTAAAGAGTTTGCATTCACTATATGTTACTGCGATGAAGGCAACATCTACGAATGAAAATGTTTTTATACACAAAAAGAAGAAAACGTAACCCCGATGTTTTGGGACAGACTTCACCAGTGGGAGCTTTCGGCACTATGGTATTGAAGGAAAAATTACTCTTTTTACAACGATACCGCGGTAATGTAAGAGAAATGAAAATCTGGCGCTAGGAAGTACTGCAATGTTGCACCGCTCTTTCTAGTAATCTAGAGGGAACATTTAGGCAACCTATCGCTCAACATTTATGTCGAAAATGTTTCATCGTTAAGACGCAGTGCGTAGTGATAGCTTCATATCGCATTAAGGACTCACTTCTTTGGCCAGTAGGAGAATGTTCTTTATTTCAAAAATGTTTTTAACTCCAAGAATTGTCCCATTCGCAGATAATTCGTGAAGTTTACAATAATTGGTTGTGAGCCAATTTCTTCACTTGTTGCTAGTTAATAGAAGGTGCGGGAAACAAACTCATTGCAACATTGAAGATTCAATGGAGCAAGTAAAACTGACATAAACATGTATTGTGATGTAATTCGATAGTTTCAGAAGATGCTAATTAAACAAGGTCGTCTGCAAACAGCTACGACTCGACATCGAAATCATGTCTTCGAACCTCTATGCCTCATTCAACCCACTCCATTTTGCGAGCATATACTTATGTAGCTGCATATGAGGCACAGCAAGTGCTCCCGCTACAACATTCTCAAGAAACAAAGCAACTTCAAGGAACAAAACGATGCAACATCCAGCAATGTATGATCTCTAGACATGTTGCTTTTCACCAATAAGGCATTCGCATGAAGCCTATCGCCGTTTTTGTTTATCGTTCTGTCCTTCACAGTCGCTTGCTTTCCAGTGCTTCTTTCGTAAGCGTGCTTCAGCTAAATTTTTCTCCATTTCAAGCTTGTGCGCCTAACTTTTACGGCGCTTGCACTTTCTATTACATACACTGGTAAAATTTGGTATAGATGATTTATATAAATTTGCTTTAGTAATGGCTACCGTCCTTTATGTAATTGCTGTTATGTAGACATATATGTGTGCACAATATAATAAATTTAATTTATATGCAGCCGTGACAAACTAATCTGTATATGTGAATGGCAACATTACTCGTTGTAACGTAACAGAACATAGAGGGAAAAAAATCCTTGACATTCCGAGAGCTCCTATCGCGCTTCCGTATTTACATTCCCAAAATATGATTTGAACTGAAAGTATATTGCAACAGTACCAAATTCGCGAATGCGACCATCAGGATTTGATTTGACTCTTCCTGGATTTGAATCCTGACTCGTCCTCTTATGCCTGAGTATGGCTGCTAGTTGTATGTTGATGCGAAAACCACGTCACTTAGGTGCTTCTGATTGGGAAATTATGATTTGCTCGTGGGCTGCTGAAATATTCAGTGGACAAAAAATTGTTCTAAAATTTACTTGCCTATGAATTTCTGGCGTCAGCTTAAGTCGCCAGGGTAAGTAAATTCATCCTGCAGCAATTCGATTTCTTCAAGTGCTAGAGATGGATAAAAGATCTCTGCTCAGACGGACTGTTGACGAAGTTCACTGAAGTATTCCACATCCCCGAACAAGAGTATACTGGTTATTGATGATTGC